CACCCACACCCTCACACCCCATCCACACCCACACCCACACCCTCACACCCCATCCACACCCACACCCGAAAGAGGGCGTTTCACTACATAGTTTCATGTCTTATTCAACATTGTTGATTGATCACAAAAAACACTTTTTCAACAAATGTACCATAAATGTAGATGTTAGATCTTCAATCAAATGATAGTAATAAAGATTCTTTTTTTCTTTATACCAAGCACACGTTAATAATTTTCGTTCATCATAATTGTTAAACGAACAGTACAAATCATAAAATTTGAAGCAAATATCTTTTAGTTTTTCGATCTGTCCAATTGTTTCATTCGTTATTCAACCTGGTACAAATTCATTCTTAGTCAGATTTTTAAATTGTGGAGCTGATAGTTGATTGTGAATAATGGAATGCATGTTGATAAAATATTGACGATCACTTAAATGATAACTGTTTACATGTCGTCTATCTGCCTTGGTCAACGATTGAATAATATACAAACAGACTTTTAGACCATCAAATGATGCATCAATGCGCTTTAAATTCAACTATTCATTGTATAAGTCATGTTTCAAACACGTCATATAATCTTTTTTACATTTTGACACTATTTAAGCTTTGGAAGATATTGAAGTTAATGCGATCTTAATAATATTGATATGTTTAAGAAAGATTCTTGAAGGCTAATATTGAAATATTGAGTTAATTGTATAAAAAATTAATGTAAATTATCCTAATGGTTTTATATACTCAAGCAATGACTACTATCGTAAAAATCTAATATTTCCCTCTAGACAAGCCGAGGGGCAGCTAATATTTTAAGTTCGCTACTGTGACGATGAGAACTTTAACTTAAGTCCCTCCTTCCTTAGCAAACTCAATTTTTCGAAGAAAAATCGAAATTGAGTTTTTTACATAGGAAGATGCCTTGAAGCTTCCTCTTTCCGAATATATGCAGCTTGTCGCAAAATGATCAGAAGGTGTGGGTGAGTGTGGGTACTAATGTTCTCTTTATCCGTACCCACGCCACGCCCCACACACATACCCAGCCACCCCACACCCATCCCCACCCACACCCACATTGTTCACATTTGACTGTTTGTTTGACGCGTGTCCTGTAAAATTACGGATTTCATTTACATTAGTAAGAACTATACCGCTTTGTAGATAATCAAAAGAGATATCATTAATATACAGAGAAGCCTATTTTTCCTGGAACACTCGTTAGAAGATATCATTGAGCAAAATCAAACATTACTATATATTTCTTAATATTTTACATGATTATAAATCTATTATGATGCACTACGTCCTGTAACTAATGAAAGAGATCTCTTGAATACTATGTTTTGATTTAAACAACATTTTTACTTTATAATAATAAGAAGAAATACTAATTACATATGAGAACAAGTTAAACGCTTATCAGAGTCAGACTTGCACTAAGTCAAACAAAGACTTAACTAGATTTTTGGGCAACATGTTTCAATATTATCGATGTATGATTCTATTATAAATTCTATCAATGAAACTAATCTCAAAGAAGAACAAGTCAGTTAAATATCAAAAGAAAATTAATAGATACGTATGGCATAGCAAAAGTGGTGGCAGTAGCACTTTAATATAGTATAGTAAGCTTTATGAAACTTTCTTTCTATATAGTCTGATAGAGAAAAGAATGCTCTATTTTTTATGCTATTTTATCATACTTCAACTAGCATTATAATAATAAACTTTCGATAAGACTTGCTTTGCTATGATATGTGCCTGGTAGTACTGGTGCCTATTAAGTAGATATTTTTTGAATAACTTTTGATAGAAACAAGATAGAGAACTCCAATGAATTCTATGTTTTTCGTCGAATGATACTTTTGCCGAAAACATTTTGTCGACAGAGCATTTCGCCGACAGGACATTTTATCAACAAATTTTTATCGAGAAAGATTTCGTCGACAGAATATTTTATTGAAAGTGAATTATTTTCTTCCTCTCATTTTTTTTCACGTCGGAACACAAGTTCAATAGTGTCACCTAATTAACTTTGCTTGTTTGCTGACGATGGAAGAATGTTAGACTGTCGTTGAATAGAATTGCATATTTGTCGTCGAAAAGCACTTTGTAGAAAACCTCGCGGTGCGCTCTAAACTATTGCGGATCCTTTAGTTCTTCCAAAAGACTGTTAAGAATGAACAGGTCAATGTATTTTGCCCTCACCCTCATACTTGAAGTGCTTTTAGTGAGCTTTGCTCTCATTCTCACGCTTGGCGTGCCCTTCATGCACAAGAAAATACTGTCGACGAAAAATAGATACCCGTCTAAGTTTTTTGATGAAGTGATTTGTCAACCAAATGTCCTTTCAACGAAATATTGTGTCGATAAAAATTTGTCGACAAAATGCTCGTCGACGAACTGTTGTGTTGACGAAGTACCGTGTCGATGAAAATTTGTCGACCAACGACATAGATACCACTGCGATTTTCCTCGTTCAAAAAGGAAGATAAAGATGCATCGATTCATATATTATAAGTTTTTTGGACGTGACTTTTTTAAATGTTTTCAATCAACCTTTTTGAAAAAATCTACTCGTGAGGTATTTACAATGAAATCTCAATTGCCAGGTGTGCATTGAAACCACCAATGGAAAATCTACAAAACTGCACAAGATTCAGAGATTTACAATTGATCATTCAGAAGTTATAGGTATCCTAGATGAAGTTTTAAGTGATTTTTCCGGCTATTTCTATAAAAGAATTTTTTGCTGCTACATTTTTTATAAGAAACCATTGTCTCCACACTTAGAAAACTGATTAAACAAACAGCAGACCATATACTAGGAAACGTATAACACATGGTTCGATATACCTTTATCTCCTCTTTCGAACGAGGAAAATCGCAGTTCTCTATCTTGTTTCTATCAAAAGTTATTCAAAAAAAAACTACTTAATGGGCACCAGTACTACCAGGCACATATCATAGTAAAACAAGTCTTATCGAAAGTTTATTATTATAATACTAGTTGAAGTATGATAAAATAGCATAGAAAAATAGAGCATTCTTTTCTCTATCCGACTATATAGAAAGAAAGTTTCATAAAGCTTACTATACTATATTAAAGTGTTACTGCCACCACTTTTGGTATGCCCTAAGTAATATTCCTTAAATAAGAAAAAATATATAATAGCTATAAATCATAAAATAATCTCCTAATCGATTGATCTAAAATAATCTCTGATAAGAATTATTCTGTTTAAAAAGATTTCAATTGTATTAGAAAATAACTATTATAAAAATATGCGCAATAATGTCTACATCTACAACATAAACATTTTTATTATTAAATCGAAAAATTAGGAAATTTTTCGTTTGATAAAAGAAAAAAGAAAACTTAAATCAAAACTTCTACTTCAGATAACACTGGTTATCAAAGTACATTTCAATCATCAACTTTCTATCCAATACAACAAGGTAATATTCTTTTACTATTTGTTCATAATATAATCTATTTCATTCTTAGATGGTTATGCACCACAACAGCAATATCGAAATTCCTATGATCAAAATCCTCGAGAACAATCATATCAAAATTTTTATGGTGAAAATCCTTATGGTCAAAATCCTTATGGTCAAAATCCTTATGGTTCAAATGCTCCACAACAGCAATCATATCAAGATCCCTATGGTTTAAATGTCCCACCACAACAACCATATCAAATCCGTTATGGTTCCAATCTTCGACAACCTCAGGGTAATATTACATTTTATGATTGACGAAGGTCTGTGAGAAGCTTATTTGTCCCACAAAATTCTTATAATAATATTAATGCTGTAATCTTACTCAAAGTTTCTTTTCTAACAGGTGGTTATGGTGGCTATCCTCCATATAACCGACCACCACAACAATATCAAAATCCTTATGCTTATCAACTACCAGGATAATGGTTTTCTTCTTTATATTTAGTCAATGCTTTATTTCTTTGTTTTTTTTCGCTATAGCTGGCGGACATAATGCAAACACATGAAACATCAGTTAGTGAGTTATTTTCTAAGACAAAAGGAATATTAAATTGAAATAAAATACATAAAATAGTAGGTTGAGATTTGCTGTTTGTATTTCGAACGCTCGCATCTGTATTTTGTAATATATTACATATTTTGACTGTACTAGAAGAAAAGCATACACCGTATGAGGTATTCTACATTCAGAGCTAATTTTTCTAGCCATAATCATGCTTTCTGTTGTTACTTTTTGTTAGATACTTCATTTTTAATTTTGCATTGTACGCTAAAATGAAAAGCTGTTAGCGCAATCCCTTGTGGGATTAAAAATGTGAAACACGATGTAGCTGCTATAGCCGATGTTCTAATAATTATTGTTTTTTCATGCATACTGATGTACATTTCTTCATAATGGTTTGCCTTACATTATTGACTTTCAACAGATAATACTCCATATATGCTTCAATCATATGTTAGTTATGCATTGCCTCTAATATTTCCGTGAAGTCTTCTATCACAGTCTATAATGATCCATGAGTCCTGTCCGTCACGGTCTGTGATGGGTCCAGAGCCCTGTCTGTCACGGTCTGTGATAGGTCCAGAGCTCTGTCTGTCACGGTCTGTGATGGGTCCAGAGCCCTGTCTGTCACGGTCTGTG